AGTTAGTTTCGCAAACTCTGACGGCGGCTGACTCGCCAGCTCCGTCGGATTAAAAATGTATGGTGGACGGAAAAGGCGAAGCAGATGGAATGCTACGCCGAACGCCGCCAACACAGGGAACCCTTGGACTCCTTGAAGGCGGTGTGTAGACGGAGATTGGAGCCGCTGAGGACGGTGATCGATGTTAGTTCATGCACTACCTGCACCCAGACTGCAGACATAATGCAGATCTGGCGGAAACACTTTGCCTGTCTCTTGAACTACCTTTCAGAGACCTTTTGACCTAAATTGAACGGAATTAAGCAGTGTGATGTGAAGGCGACTCTTGTAGACACGCCGACACTGGATCAGACGCAGACAGCATTCGCTCAGCCGCGAAACGGCAGGTGTGTCGGTGCAGACGAGATCCCGCCTGAAGTATTGAAAATCGATAGACTCGCGTTGGTGACTACGCTACACCACTTGGTGCTAAGCTTAAGGATTGAGGAAGAGTTTCCTCCTGAACTGAAGGATGTCCTTGTGCTACCACTGTACAAGGGCAAAGGGAGCAAGCAACGTTGCACGAATTATCGTGGTATCGACTTGCTGAGTTGTGTAGGCAAGTTGATCGCCCGAATCCTGCTCAACCGCCTCGTCAGTCAGATTGTGAAACCTAACGTGGCGGAAGAGCAGTGTGCATTCCGTTCGGTTCGCAACACTGTAGATATGGTGTTTGGGGCTCGTCAGTTGCAGGAGAAGCGCAGAGAACCACACCAGCCATTGTACTCGCTTTTTGTTGATTTCACCAAGGCATTTGATAAGGTGAACCAACAGGCATTTGGGTTGGTGTTGGGTAAGTTTGATTGCCCGCGTAAGTTTGCAAGTTTACCTGAATGTCTTCACATTGGTACGCGAGCGAGGGTGCAGCTGATTGGAATGACCTCGGATGACTTTGCAGTTGCCTCTGGTATGAAGCAAGGCTGAGTCTTCGCTTCTGCCCTGCTGAATATATCTCTTCATGCCATGATGTAGTGTGCTTTGGATGCCGCTTGTGCTTACGGTGTTCGTGTTGAGCACCGTATTGATGGTAGATTGCAGAACATCCGTCTTTTCGGTGCGAGAACTCTAGTCTGAGTCAACTATCCGTAGGTTGTTGTTTGTTGACGACTGTGCGTTGTTTGCACACAGCGCGCATGAGTTGCAGCATATGACTAATGTGCTAGCTTCGACAGCGGCCTAATTCGGGCTCACCATCAACAAAAGTAAAACTCTGTATGTTTCAGCCTTTACCGGAGGTGCAATCTTCAATATTGCCTGGAATGAACATTGGTGCTGAAGTATTGGAAACCAACTTTCGCTTCTGCTACCTTGGGAGTGTGATGTCGACTGATCAGCCGCTACACAGTGAGCTGACTATCCTCTTCTAGAAGACGGCGGCGACATTCAGGAAATATCGAGTGTGGAACAGCCATCAGCTTACCATTGGCTCGAAGCTAATGGTGTACAAATCCATGGGGCTGACCGTTCTTCTGTACGGCAGTGAAACGCGGACGATATACCGGCGCCATCTGCGATATCTCGAGCTGTTCCATCAACAGGGTTTACGGCGGATTTTGCGCGTCGAATGGGGCGACAGAGTTGCAGACATGGAAGTGTTGCGCCAAAGTGCAATGTATGCAGTTGACTGCATAGTTTTGCTGAGACACCTGAGGTGGCTAGGTCATGTGAGCCGTATGGATTCGACGCGGATAGCGAAACCACTATTATATGGTCAGCTGAGCTTTGGGAAGCGGCATGTGGGGAAATCAAAGTTACGTTAACAGGACATGATCACATTGAGCCTTTCAAATTCAAATCTCCCTTGTAGATCATTTGAATCGAAGGCGGTTGATCGGCGTGCATGGCGCGATCTGATCACGAAGGCAGTTTCCGAAGTGCGGAAGAAAACCCTCATTCATGCAGAGAAGAAACGGCAAGTGCGAAGCGGCAAGCGCCGATGAGTTGCACTACATCGATATCAAGCGCATGGTGCTGTATCAGGTGCAGTCGTGAGTGCCTGAGTCAGGCAGGTCTAGTGAGAATTGAACGAGGCCACTCAGGACCACTACAGAAGGGACGAAGGGTCCTGCATAGAACGTGGGCAGAAGCGGCGTGGTGTTTGTAGATAAACTGAGTTCGCTTCATGTCCGGGAGAAAGTAAGAATTGCCTAGGAAATCCACTATTTTATCGATTAATCAATCATTAATTGTTATCGTATCAACTTCGAACGTTCCGGAATGTTCTAGTTCTGCACGTGACCAAAAGCCACCTGAAACCTCGGCAAAAGATATGGGGAACCACTAACCTTGGTGGTTGGCCTTCCAATTCTAGAAGTCGAAGGTCAGTAAGAGATCTATGATTACAGCCAAGGTCCACAGTAGTTGTAAAGTGTTTGTTGGCGGCGTGTAATATGTTATTTTGTCAAGATCCTTGGCGTTCTGCATTTTGCTTCGGTTGGGCCAGAAGTTTTATGGAGTAGTAAATTGTTATTTGCGGGATTGCGTCTAGTGAGCAGATTATAACACTTTACTAATCATGTGCTTGCATGCTAAGTCCCCTTATTTCAGGTGGTGGGTTTTCAAGTTTTTCCCAATGATTTCCTTTATTATATTTTTAGCTGCCTGCACTAATTTCTATAAACCTGCACACGCTGTCGAAACTAACTGCAGTTAATTTCCATAACATTTTCGGCTTTGTGGCAGTTTTCTTAAAATATGTTTTCTGACCTCTTGAAGTTACCGTGCATTCGTCCGTAATCATTTTTTTTCTACGCTCATTTAGTGAAGAGTTATATCTCTGTATCTGTATGCATTATCCGATTTATTTTAGTTCATCTTGTCATTTCAAGTGATTGGCTGTTGCTTGATATCCCCAGTGTGGCTGCGCTTGATGTGCATATTGACCAGGTGCCTACCTGTCTATTACCTACTACCTGGTTCATACTGGCTCCAGGAGACAGTTGGTTGTTCTCGGAGGGGATGGAGTGCACGGTCCTTGTGATCGTACTAGGCTCGATGAGTGTTTCCATTCACACGGTGTGGAGTGGACTACGGTCCAGCCACCGCCTTGTGTGCGCTTGATTCCCCAAATACAGCGTGATTGTGTTTGCCTGTGAAGGACTGTGAGCCGGCTCTGGTGATGAAACGTGGCTCCCATCCACATGCCTCCCGGTCTTATTCCTTCGGGTTTACACTGGATATGGGTTGTGTGGTTGGAGCTGTGGGTGGTGCAGCGCAAGCCACCCATGGTCCGTCTGTAGGCGCAGGCGTCCTGTGGCTGGTTACAGTGACAGGGAAAGCCGAAACCGGAGGCCGCCAAACATATATATACACCAATTAGTTCTGAAGAAATGTTGGAGGGAGATTATAAAGAGCTGATAGATATGTGATTTATGATTCTTCTTCGTGTAGCCGGAATTTTGTACTAGTTAGCCAATGTTCGAGCACTTAAAATGGGAGCAACCTTATATATAAATATAAATATATATATATATATAAGGCAAGCAGTTATGATTGCTTTTTCATAAATACAACGTTGCCATGTGATTAACTTCTTTAGAGAATTTGATATCGTTGATCTTTCACCAGTTTACAATGTCAATTTTCCTTGTACCTTTCAACCGTCCGTTTACCCTTCTGATTGGAATTCTCGAGAAAGCGTTTCCTTAATCCATCGTACACTGCGCTGCTCTCTACCCTCACTGATCCGCTTTCGATTCCTTGTAGCGCGTCGCAATACAAGCTATGCCTAATTACTTTTTGTTTTTTTTCATAGAATCGCATTTTGCTCTCGTATTTCATGGCATTTGAGTAACACTCACATTCCTGTAACACTTGTAAGGCTACTTCCAGGTCTTTCACACATCATTTTACTCGTTTGTACCGAAATCATCAAAATACACACTTCTTCATCTGAAGTGGGGTGTTTCGGACTGCCCGGTCCCAACACTGCACTCCACACAGGACCAGTTTCGGTCCTGATTATAACGCGTTAGTTAGAGATAGCCTAAGTTCAGGGTAGAACCCGATACAGAATGGCTGAATCCTAAGCTGTCCCACTCTCAATTAAGGCTATCTCTACCTAACGAGTTAAAAGCAGGACGAAACCGGCCGAATGTAAAGTGTTAAGAGAAAGTCGCCCTGAAGCTCGCCACTTTGGTTGCAGTCCCAGTGATCAAAATGACAGAGATTTGCTTCAAAGCAAATGGTGGTCTCAGTCGCTATTTCGTGTCGCAGTCCAGCAACGCGGCGGTTACACCAGGACCTAACAATGACCCACTCCTTCATTTAAACTTTAGCGTTAAATATGTATCACACACTCAGAATCAGCAGTTAAGCGGAACCTTAGAATGGGAAGGTTTCTTGACCAAACAAATTAACTTAATGCGCCTAATGGACCGCTTTTTCAAGCATCTGAATGAACCAAGATGATAAAGCCAAACCGTCAGATATGAACAGATGGAAATATAGTTGCTCAGATAGAATGGTAATATCCACACCTCGCATATTCTTCAGTATTTGTTGTATTTGCTTTGTAAGCTCTTAGTACTTGGCCAAAATGATTTATTGCCAGTGAAAACAACTCTTTTCCACTGAAGTGATTGATACAATCCTGAGGTTGAAATTTCGTGAATTTCCAAGGGACACAAAAGAAATTCGAAATCATTCGTGTTCTAAATCTGTAATTTTCAGCAGTTGCTCATATCATACTGTTAATATCCTACCAGGTCTCTTAGTCAGTTAAAGGCATTTTAAAGGTCAGCCGCCTGCGAGGTTGACCAAAGCCGTTAAAACCTCAGTAATACTTGTACAAAAGGTTATCACTTAAATAAACCTGGCTGGTAGAAATGAAAAGGTGTGTTTTAATCAGTGAAAAGCGGCTTCGGTTTCTTTCCGAATCTGGTAAATCGATTTGTTGTGAGCTTGTTGCTTTTACAACACCTGATGGTATCTGAATCTTAGAGAATGATATGTCAAGTTACCTGTTACGTAGAAGGTGGTTGAGTTGAAGCGACCAAAATCCGTTGGGATCCATATGGTCCCAGAACGAAGGATTTCTAGCAGTCTGAATCCGCCCATTTGCAAGTGTCGGAATACAAGAGCGGTTGAATAGACGGCCGCCATTGTATTATTGAAATCAAACTTGAGTGTGACTGTCACCCAGACTGATCCCGGGGTGAAGGTCACATTTTCACACGAAACGAACGATTGAACCAAAGTTGGATCGCTTCCCAATTTGGCAGCCATTTCAAGCTGATAAAATAAAGAGTACTGATCATTTAGCGAGTTATGTAATCGGATTAAAGTAAAACAGATCTACTGACCAGATAAAATATTGAGGCTTACGCCTCCGAAACTACATTATATGTTCGGCGAAACCAAGTGCAATTGAGTTAAACCAAGCTGTGAGTTATTGGGTTGGATATTCCACTTTTGGTAGCAATGCAGCAACGCCAACTCCAAATAATGTTTTGAACCATTGGATATAGTCGCCTGTTTTTATCCATTTCTCACTTGCTCTAAACAGATATCATATCCCCATTATCCTTTGCTTAGTTAGTCTTCACTAGGAGTATGCATTCAAAAAGAAGAAATACTACCCCAGTAATTATGATTTACATATGCGCCTCGTATTAATCATGTGGATCTGCCGCACGTTCGATATGAAACATGGTTCGTACTAAACGTAGGACCAATTCAAATCAAGAATGACAGGTGAATTTGCAGACGTGACATAATTATCACATGTTAAAATGGCCGAACAGTAGGAAAAGAATAAACTCCTTGAAAAATCACCTGTGGAATAAATTTCACTGGTCAGTTCATGGGTAATGGCGTTTTGTTTGGACAGCCAACTGGCTAGATAGGGAATGACCGACGAAACTTAAGCACTCGTGCGGGCATATATTGATTTATACTTTTGTCCAGATGACGAGGTAGATATACTATTGATGAACACTGTGAGGAATGTGGCTAGTTTCAGTGATTATTTTGGAAGCAAGTTTTGTACGTGTATTAACGTGCATAGTCATATGTTGAGCCAAAGTTGGCTTCAGAATGCCACTGCAGCGCGACAACTGCTTTAGTGCCTTGCAAAGCAGCTTGAACTGCTTACGCGGTAAGTTTGAAAAATTCACAGCAGTACTAAGTCCAGTGTGGTAGAACGCACACAGTGGTAAACTTTGCTAGCAAATTGTAGGCCAAGCGTGATGCTTACGATTAAGTGACGTAAAGTTGACGTCATCTGAGTTTGGTGAATATTACGATCACGTGAAGTGAACATAACAATGCATGGCTCACTGTAACTCCAAGCAACTTTATAGACGTTCAGAAGCTCAAACTTTCACTGTTGCTCTGAAGTCGTGAATATTACGTAACAAGTACCTGGCAAGCAGCTGGTTTACGAAGTGATAATAGATCGTCATTACACTGGGATGTTTTCAGCAACAAAGCAGCGTGAGTTGGACCAATGCACTACTTCATCCAAACAACGTCGCAGCTTGGCTGAGGAGGCCATGATTAGCTTATTCACATCGATGATAACGTCATCGGCATCTAATGGCAAAAGGATTTCTCCTGAGACTGGTATAAAACCAACGTATGTAGAGAACGAGTATAGTGACAAATTAACTCCTCGAAGTACACCGGGAGTTATGGTAAGTGGTGAGGAGCTTGTAACATCAAAACCGCCAACCCGATTACGTTTGCGGAAATAGAATACCACAAGTTTGAACAACTAGCGATAGCATTTTACGGCTAAAACAGCCAAAATAGTCGCTGTACCCGAGGAAGCAGACATTTGTGGACTTGTACTTACTGTTTAACGACGATAACAGTGAATACACTAGCAAAGCCATTGCATCTGGTGTGGACTTTGTGCTTTCATAAGCAAACTGAAGTAGGTCATCCAAAAGGGACTGAGCAAGCATTCTTTTAAGAATATTCTTCTCAACAATTACTACAAAGTCACCTGGATGCATGCCAAAAGGTATAGATATACTCGCCTCTTACTTCGGTACTGGCACTGTGGTAGCCATTCTCCAACTCATCAGACATGGTCAGCTCAATCTTGTGCCCTTTGTTAATTTGCACGCCATTCCGATCTAGACTTTGGGCTCAGGTGCAACACCGACAAACTGCTGCCGATTGGATCGCACTGAGTTGTGCAGTCGGAATATTAAAATTGCACTTGGGAAGGTTCATGCGCTTGCAGGTTGCCCGACTTAACACGCACAGAGTGCAATATCGTCATTATTTATTAGACAAACAATGACCAGCTGCGTAGCGCCTCATACTAACTCTATGGGCCCAATCACGGACTGCTTTCCGTGCATGAGATTTTTTGGATATTCATGGTAATCTACACACAAAATCGTGGAAAATATGTTGAAAGAAAAGCGACAGGAGTTCAAGGTCCATGCAGACAAACAAAATCTCTCAGCACTGTAGTCGTGACAACAAGCATATCTTAACAACGAAGGGGTGAAGCAGAATTAGTTGAACGCGTACTGGCAATTCAGTAAAACTTACGCCTGTCATTAATATCTGATCACGCTACTCTACAGTACGTCCGATGGAAGAGGGCCGATGAACGTATTCCGGAATGTGAAGGGCGGTTCATGAACCGACCGCGGCTCGCTAATGGTGAATGCCGGTCATTTACGATAGTTGTCCCCGCCATCAAATGCTTAGCGGAATGGCGTGGGTGCGCGAGTGCAGACACATTAATTTCTCTCTAACCTTAGTGGTGAGGACATATAGCATCCTCCTCATACAAGTGGTTTAGTTCAGGCATCAGCTGAGTGCAAGCGTAAAACTGGTGAGGTATATGCCGGCACGACGGCAGTTCGAGCAAGAAAACTAAAGACAGCCACATGACACTGTCCGGCGGTCGCTAGCTGTCAGCTAACCTCGCTCTGAATGCTGTGCGCGGAAGGTTGTGGCAAAACGTTCATGGGCCCTATTCCATCGGACGTACTGTACTCAAGCCAAAATGAATTGTTTATAGGGATAAAGCAGAAATGTAAGATTGCATAAATGAATGTGGCCTTGCTGAAACCGGTCCTCGTGTGCGAGTGTAAGCATATGGTAGATTATATGTAGCAGCATAAAAAACGTACCGTTGTGATGACGACTTTAGAATACTTCTGAAATTTCGTGCTGGTCTTATCAGCCAGTGCGATATCCCAGAGAAAATTCTTAGTGCCCTTCAACATCAAAAAACCAACGCTGTAAAAACGGATACCTGAAAGTGAATGAATCGGAAGACGGACTATCAATTGATTTTCTTGTGAAACACAGAGTGACTAGCAAATTCATTGGCCATGACTTGCTAGTAGTGACTGCAACACTTGTCCCCATAAGATTGAGGCTTTAGTGGCCTACAAATAATTCGAGTCCCGTCTGCTTGTATATATAATTTATGGACTTTTCTCGAGACTCCGAGTGGTCTCACTTTATGGCGCTTCATGCACACTGAATTACGAAGGGGACACGAGTGCAGAGATCCTACTGCCTGAATGCAACCATTTAACGAAAAGGAACCAAATGCATTTCATAAGCTCCGATTACAATTGCGTTAGCCAGATGGGCAATCCACTTTGAATCCACATGGAAGCAGCTCTAAGCGGAACAGGGTCTAGCACAGTGAGAAAATAATTGGTGCATGCGGTTGGGCGCTAAAATAGATGGCATGAAATGTGGCAGCGAAAAGTTGCAATGTGAAAGCAGCTACAGATTATTTGACGACTTATGAGTAACGGGTGCCTAATCACTATTCGAATTTCTTGCCATTATCCTAGAGCCAATAGCCAACAAACCTGTAGTCACTAGTATAGTATTGGCCTGTACAGCAGCACATTCGCAAGAATATGACGTATGTCCAAGCCGTAGCACGGTGCAAAGGGAACATTCGAATGCGAAGTGAAGTATTCTAAATGCAATCAAAATGAACGCCACGAAACACATTAGAAATTTCACGAAAACCTAGGTCCCAGCCGCCATGCTTTCTTGCTTATATCTTGGTTGCATGACCTCACAGCAATTGCTGGCTAGATCAGGAGACCCGACTAAGGATTTGAAGTAGTACCAAGCTGGAAATAAAGGGATGTTCGGCACTGTAACATCAACGAGGAAACACATCATGACCTTCAGATGTCAAATATTTGAACATGATACATGCACTCAAAGCGGATAGACATAATTGCTATATTATCTCCCACGGTGAACAGAGGAAACAATTCAGCGGTCTTCCCAATGCATGCGGGAAGTCTATTAAAAACAGCCTGCCTGAGTACGTTGAACACCTGTTACAGCAAGCGTACAAACCTTATTTGCTTTAATGTAACTACTTATGAGTAGACGGCTTTATGAAGAATCTTTTGGATCATCGCGTTCGGACTACAAGCCAGAGGTCGACTGCAACGCTTGAGTAACATCAAGCGATCGTCCCGCCCTTTTCTGCCTCATCAGTGGTGCTCATTTTCCATCAGTAAATCGAACCCACGAACATTTGTGGCTTGTAACATTAGTCAGTTATTTCTGCCAACACATTCTTGCAGTAGAGCGCTTGCGCTAACAGCAGTGGAAAAGGCTGCTACATTGCTGATCCTCTTAATTTTACAGGTTAAGACGGTCTGCGAATTTGTCGAACAGGCTGACATGAGAATGTAATTAGAACTAATAATGAATACTACACAATCTTATCATTTAGAGGCTTCGGGATTTTAATAAAATATATTTTTCAAGGAGCAACATAACATACGTGCCACCAATTCAAATCTATTAGGCCTAAGGATGTATCTTCTAATTAGCGTACACATAAAACTTGTTTGCTATAAGATAGGAAAAATATAGGTACGAAATAGGTAATTATAACTTACGTCTCTCGCATTTGGGGCCAGTAACCCCCTCAGGACAGGAGCATGATGGTTTATCCTGTGGACCGGTGCAGCTTCCGCCGTTTAAGCAAGTATTATCATTGCACTCTTTCAGTGGGCTGGAGGCACCTAGAAAATATTCTCATTAGAGCTATTTTAATTCGTTTATAATCAAGAGCAATATTATTCAATCCCAGATGTTTTAAAAGTGCAAGAAGGAAAAATATTTCAGTTGGCAGAATCTACTGAACTCAGTGTATTGTGCGTATTCCCGTTCAGTCGTGCACATACCAATAATGAAACTTTAGTATCTACGCGGCTGAAAGAGAATACGTGAAATATACTGAATTCAGTAGATTCTGCCAAATGAAAAGTTTTCCCTTCTTGCACTTTTAAAGCTCCTAAAGGGAAATGGTTGTATGAAATCTTAGAGATATCTGTAGAAGGTAATACATTTGAGGCATAGTTAGACACATGGAATGTTTGCGGGGCATGAAATATATATATATATATATATATATATATATGATGGCAGAATAATAATTTATCGGGTGCAAAAAACGTTTTGTTTTTTATACCAAACAAAGGATTGCACTACGTCCAAGTACTGTCCACAGTTTCATAGGTTCAAACCATTTGGAGAAACAGCTAGACAATGCCGAAGCGGGTAACTTCAAACAGTTCAATAGAGGCCACTACTGCAGTTTTTGTAGACTCGAGGCGGATTCCACGCACTATGCACGTGACAGCTGGGAACACGACTGTCACACGTAGCCAGGTCTGAACTGTAAGCTTGATGACCAACTTCCTGGATGCGTTCTCTGGCCTGAAAATCTTCAACGTCACGGGATCTGCGTACAGGTACTCTGTCATGGTTCAGCAAGCCTGGCTACAGCTTCCACCAAATATTACGGACTGTGGATGTCATACCAGTATGAGCGGTACAATAGCCACATGCCCGGTCTTTGCCACGAAGACAACCATCACCTGTTTGGCCACACTGCGCGCACGCCAGAATTTCTGAGGCCGCGACACAACAACGGCCGCCCAATGAGCCGAGTATTCAATGGATCAATACATTTGTCCCGCATAAAAAAGCAAAGCTTGAAAATTCCCGCAGGTACAAAGTGAAAACAAGATGTGAAACTATTAACAAACACAACAGTAACGCATATCGGTGTACTCACAGAAGCTTCACTTGTGCAGGTAGTTTGGTTGTGCCATGATGTGTCTCAGTAACATTAGCTAAGTTTTGTAACACATGTGGTGTAATTTTTCATAAAGCTGAGTGTTGAATATAGTCAGTTTAGAAGCGGTGATGGAAAATAAGAGAGCGTTATCCCACAGGGACACATGAGGTGAGAAGAATTCCCCGTAGCATTTCAGTCGGCTGAAGTGTGTAGCTAACTTCAAATGACGCCTTCGGAGTGAGGTATTGTGACAATCTAATAAATGTTGATATATGTGGTTTGGATCACTTAAGATCTGAAACACCAAAAGATCACTAAGCAGTTGACGGTATTGACCAACGAAAAATCCTAAGGTATGTAGTCTATGCTGGTTAGGGCAATGAGTCAGCCCTTTAACATATTTGTTGCTCTTTTTTGTGGAGCCTCAACAGTAGCAAGAAGAATGCTTTTGCCATGGGTACCAGACCCAGATGAAGTATTCAAAACGTGACTTCAGGTAAGCGTTGAGCACTTGTGGAAAGAAGATGGGATCAAGTCCACTAAATGCACTCCGCAACAGACGGAAGTGCAGTTTGTTTTTACTTGCTGCTCTTTCTGCTTGTCTTGAACAAACATGATTTGTCTGCACGAGCATTTCAAGATCATTTTCTTGACAGACGCGTAGCAATAAGTGTTCTCCTGGATGGTGTTTGCATGTTCTCTGGTGGAATATACATAATACTCTACATTTAGCAGCGTTGAACTGCAGCATGATCTGAACTGACCGATCAAGAGCCCTATAGCGATCACTTTGTAATGTCATATAATGTGATCGTTTGCCGTCCTAATATCCCGCCAACTTTTGAGATCGTATGCGAAGTGTAAAACGTTGAATCTATCACTCTCAAGAGGTAGTTAAGGAAGACGAGAAAAACCTTGACCTAGAAACGAGCCTTGTGGGACGTCACATAGCTCCTCTGTTGAGTCAGTTAAGGCGCTACAAACTCACACATTTAGGCGACGTTAAAGTAGTAATGCGCGTATCCAACCCAGCATGGGGTCGTCGATTCCACAGCTCCGACGCTTGAAAAGGAGGACGTTGTTATAAAGACGGTCAAACGCTTTCGAGAAAGCGATGTACTCATCGCCAGCTCTCTCCTTAGCGTCTGCAGATTTCGTGCAGCTGGACTGAGCTAACAACAGATCCGTGCTAAATGACCGGTTTCGGCGGAAACCGTGGCGTTGTGGTACTTTGATATTGCATTTTTCAAGCATTCCGTGAGGGCCACTGCCATATCGGATTTTATTGACTTAGAAAGAATTGGCAGAATAGTTATCGGGTGGTAGATTTCCGGTTCGGCGCGGTTAGCTTCTTGTAAATTTCAGTGGATACTACATGCTTCCACATGGCCGGGACCGGCATGTTGTCTAGACAATGTTGGAAAGAAAACTGGACAACTGTTCAGCCAGGCTGCTGGCCGCCACTTTCAATAGGCTTGGATGCAAATTGTCAGCATCTGGAGAACTGTGACATCAGTCGCTGCAGCAGGTCCGCGTCAGTAAATGAGATGTGGCTAATTTCTGGTGGTAGCTGGTGGTAAGCTGTGTAAGAATTGTAGGGAATACCACTGAATTCTGGAAATTACAACCGATTTTGGTATAAGGTCGTTGGCCCCATCGCAATGAGACTGGACCTTATCGTGGTGCGATGGTTTGTGTGCCTCAGTGATCCATTGAGCTATGGTGGGTGGTGCATTTTTGCACCTTCAGAGTCACTTATACACGATTGGTCAATGGTTGGAGGCCAGACAAACTCAGCCTCCTGGTCCCCCAAGTTGGGGGTTGGAATGAAGTAGCTCCTTATTACTTAAAACGGACTCCTTGTAGCCCAACGAGAAACCCGCCCACTTGCGGTTAGGTTTTTGAACCAAAGGCTTTGCCTGAGAACCCTAATCATTCTCATGTCTAGGCCTGGGCAACCTGATATTAACCTGCCCACGCAATACAATGAATTGCTCTTCAAACAGTTTCTTGATGCTCTGGTCACCACAGAGGATAATCAACTGCGCTCTGTTTGTCGCATCGAGCAGGGTGGATAGGGGTTTGGATGCTACTGCTCAAGCCTTCACATCTTTTTATTCCTCTGTTATGCTTTTTCTCTTACCGTCCCGTTCCAGCTTCACTTTTATCCCCCGTTTTCAACCCCCCAATTCTTGGCCTCCTCCACCTTGCTTTGTTAAGCTTTTACCTTCTAGTTTCAACTCGCATGTGAACATGGAGCGTCACCCCTGTCTTATCGACAAGATTATGTCCAACCAAGCGGCCAAGCCCAGTTCATCCACTTCCATTTGGAACCCTCAATCATCCTTCAGATTGGCATGCCTCGATGTACGCACATTGCTACAAATCGGTCAACAGGCAACACTTGCCCGAACAATAGAGACCCTCTCGATTTATATCTGCTGCTTATCGGAGACCCGCCCGCAAGACTCGAGCTCTGTACTCACTCTGCGATCCCCTTCAGGTGACACTAGCAGCACTTTCTCATTGCGCATATCTGGTGACCATGCAGTTTCGAGCACCGGCCAAGCCGGTGTTGGTATTGCTCTGAGTCCCCGGGCTGAAGCTGCTCTGGTTGACTGGATTCTTATCAGTAGCCGGATATGTGCGGTTCGATTGGCTGGCTCAATCAAACCTTCGAAGTCGCACAGGACTAACAGGTGTCTATTCATCATCGCTGCCTATGCACCCACAAACTGTAGCGATGGTTCGGTAAAAGACCACTTCTATCGCCAATTGAACAAGCTCCTTCGCCACAGAAGAAGAAGCTCGGACACTGTAGTGCTGGCTGGGGATCTGAACGCTCAAGTTGGAATATTATCCACTGATGAACTGCATCTGGGTGGCCAACATGGTGTAGGCTCTCGTAATGATAAGGGTGAGCGGTTACTTCATTTGTGTGAAGATGCTCGCTTATTTCTTGCAAGCACTAATTCCCGACACAG